AGAATTACTTAGTCTAGGCTGGCCTCAAACTCATTATCCTTCTGCCTCAGCCTTTCAAGTATAAGGTTTCAGATAAACCACCATTACTGGGTAAAGAATGTTTTGTAAACTGTTTCTGTTTCACAGAGACGAGAACTGTGAAACAGACTTGTCAACTTGATGGATTTGAGTTTAACCATACAGACACTCCTCTATGTATGCCCATGAGGGCATTCCCCACAGGACTTTAAGATCCACTCTGAATGTGGATGGCACTATCTCATGGGCTGGGGTCTCTTACTGAATGGAGAAATTGAACCAAACACCAGCATTTCTCCATTTCCTTCTTGACGGAGGATGTAATACGATCAGCCAACTCACACTGCTGTCATCAGGACTTCCTCATTATGATGGACTGTACACTCCAACTGTTGCCCAAAATAGGCCCTCTTCCTTAAGTTGCTTTGTTAACTACTGTGTTACAGAGATGTAAAAAGTAACTAATACAGGAAATTGGTACCAAGAAATGAGGCTACTGTGATAAAACTGACTGTGTAGTTCTGGTTTGTGAGAATGAACATGGAAGCATTTGAAGCTACGTTCAAGAGATGCCCTCAAATGCTGAACTTGAAGTCCTACTCATAAGATTTCAGAGGGGGAACAAAGACTCTGTTGGGACCTTGACTAGAAGCCATTCATGTTATACTCTGCCAAAGAATCTGGTTTTATCCCGCCCATGTCCTAAGAACCTGAATGAAGCTGAATCAAAACTTAATGGGCGAGGACCAATGAGATGGTGCAGCCAGTTAAGGCACTTGTCGACAGATAATCTGACTTTGAGCCCTTGGACTCATAAAGTAAAAGGAAAGAACTGATTTCCACCAGTTGTCCTCTGACCAACACACACATGCCAGAGTATGCATATACCTACCTTCATCTTCACACAAAACAATAACAGAAGTTAAAAGCATACAATGGACTAATTTCTTTGGCGGGGGAAATTTTAGGACAACATAGCACTCAGGCTGTGGCACAGCTACTGATTCCAATTGTTATTCAGATCTATAATAAGATAGAACAGAAAGATTAAAATGTGCACAGATTCAGAACTGGTTAAAGTGCTGAGAATAACTGAGTGCTCACCCATGAATGGGACACCCATATCATTCTCTCTGAGGTTCAGTAAACATTGTGTATGGGAGCACAGAAAGAATATAATAGGCTGAAGGATGAGGATGGGTGCCGTGGAAGCCTGTCTTCTGGACATGAGTTATTATACTCATGAATTCACAGCAGCTGTGGTTATCTACACAACACTATACAAGATTTGGTCTGTCTATGTTCCATCATGGACTGGGAGGGTCATTTTCTTCATTAATGTAGACACTGGACAGTTTCCTGTGTTCCAATAAAAAATACCCTACCAATGTTCATGCAAGAAATACTAATTAAACTCAGTGGCATGAAAATGGGAGTAATACTTAATGAAAAGAAGAAGGGGTGCAATAGAAAGTCTGAAGAGAATAAGAGAGGGTAATGTAGGCTGTGTGTGATCAAAGTGCATTACATACACATGTGAAATTATCTAATAATAAACTATTTTTAAGTATGTGCATTCTGGAGAGGAAAGAACATGAGTAAGTTTAACGTTTTAGACAAGGTCGGAAGAAAGCTTCTTTAATTAAGTACATTCACATCATCAAAGAGAAACATACATCACTAGAAAGAGTTAAAAAAATGCCCTGAACACACACACACACACACACATACACACACACACACACACACACACACACACACACACACACACACACACACAAGATTACCACTTATGAAAACTCAAATTCATTTGAAAAGGGGGAGTCTATACTAGAGTTTCCTTGCTCCAGTGGCCAATTGTGAAAGTATTTCCCTGGAGTCAGCCTCAAAAGGACACTGAGCCTGCTACAAATGTGATCCAAGAAGGCTAAGCGACACCTCAATTTGGCAGCCTAACATGGCAGGATCATCCATATGGAACAATTTTTTCAGGCATCAAAGATGCAAAAATAAAGGGGTGAGTCTTGCCTCAAGGTTTAAGAAAGCTGCAGGGAATGTATGGTAGACTTAAAATTCCCAGCAAGGATGCCCTGGGAGGTCACTGTAGGAACCTGAAAGAGTAAAACCTAATTTTGCAATGGAGACCCCAGCATGCTAGAGATGCCAGGACTGTGAGGTATCTACCAAGACAAGCTGCAGGCCCAGAGCAGAACTGGCTCAAGGAAGAGAATGTGTGTGCTGTAGGCATCAGAGCCTGGGCTGCCTGAGACAGTGGAGCCCAGATGATGCCATCATAAGTCTGATGACAATTACAGAGCTACAGGGTTTGGTGTCTTCCCTGTTTGTTTTGATCTTCTTTCAGTCTGGCCTTTCCTTGATACTGCTCCATTACTCCATTCTGAAATAAAAATATTGAATATGTGCCACTGTATGTTGGAAGTATGCAACTTGATTTATGATTTTATATTAATACAGTTCATAACAAAGAGACTTTTCTGAGTCTCAAAGGATACTATGGACTTCTGAAAAGTGTTTGAGTCATTAAAGACAGCGGGAACTTTTATAGATTGACTACATGCATTTTGAATTATGTGACAAGAATGACTTTAGTGACTAAAGATAAAGTGTTACCATTTAAAGTGATGGGTTGGGTGTCAAGCTGGCAAGGGGTGGAGGTGTGATGGTTAATATTCATTTTCCACTGGACTAGATTCAGAATTACCAAGGAACGCTTCTGTGAGTTTTCTTTGAGGGTGTTTCAAGAAAGATTTAAATGGAGGAAGAAAAGACTCACCTTTAATGTGGGTGGTACCATCTCATGGGGGTCCTGGACTGAATTCAAAGGAAAAAATGAACTCTTCACCATCATTCCATTCCTCTTTGCTTTCTGGCTACAGAAGCAATGTAACCCAGCTGCCCCATACTTCTGAAAACCAAATTTCTCCCACCAGGGTAAATGCATCCTCAAACAGTGAGCCTAAACAGACCCTTTCTTAAGTTCCTTTTATCAAAATCAAGTGTTCTGTCACAGCACTGAGAAAAATCACTAATACATGTTATAGACAAAACAATCTATTCAATGTCCTTTTGATCTTAGACAATGATCCAGGTGAACTATAGCCTATTGTGAACATTATATATTGTCTGTTGAACACAACTATTCATTCAGTGATAATATTAAAACGTAGTAGCTATATTCAATGTAGATTACATTTGCCAGGCATGTGAAAGGGCTATTGAAATGACTGAATTAACCACATCCTCAAGTTTTGGAACAGTTTCAACATTCTACATGCTATTTGAAACATGTCTGCAGCCTGGGGAGAAGCCAAAAGCAAAGTGAGGAAGAAGTTATACCCAAGGTTTCACGGAAGTTTTCTGCAGAAACTGGCAGAAGTAGTCACTGCTATCAAGAGGGGCATGTGGATGGTAGAAGAAATGGACACCAATTATAGAAGATTCACAACAACTGAGTTATGATTAGATACTGTAACAAAAAATCTCTACCTGACATCTTCCTGAAGACCACTATGTCTACAACACTGTCAACAAGCACCAACATCTCAAGCCTTGTTCAGAGAGAAACTAATTAGTGTTACTACAGCACTTCAGTTGCATGATCACTAGTTTTCTATTGGTAAAGCATACTTAACATACACATTAATGGAATTAACTGAATATATTAATTCCCAGCTTCCCTAACAGTGTCAGTTGGTTAGAGACACTACTCCAAATAATGTAAAAGTCTTACAGAGAGTATTCAATTTATTCTCTTATTGGGATGAAAGGCAAACTAAGTGCCTGGAGACCCAACACTGGAAGGACATAACCCATGCTGGAGATGGAGGAGCAGAGAGGCCCTACAAGTGATGGAGGTCGGGATACACCATCTACGAGAGAAAAGTCAAGGCTCTGGGTAATGTGCAGGAGTGTGAAGTCAGAACTGACACTAGTCTTTAGTACTTACCTGCTGTGTAAAATTCCAGGCAGGTTATTAACTTATTTTGGCTTTTTCAGATTCTATGAAGTCAGAATTGTGATTAAAAGAGAGAGGCAAATTAAATAAGCACTCAGTAAACAATACAATCAGCCACAGTAGCAGCATTACCATGAGGAGATCTCAAACTCACTAATACTCAGGGGAACTGTTTCATCTATCAAATTAAATATTCTTAAGAATGGCGTCAGAGAGAATGCAGTAAAATATTTACTCTTTCCATGGTATCACTATAATTTGGGGAATTGTCCAGAAGATTAGAAATTCTAAGCCTACCAGTTTCTGCATATTTGATACAAAGGAGATTAGAAATCCCACGGAAGGCTCAGAAAGAAGATAACTATAGTGACACACACAACTGAGAATCTAGAAGCAACAGAAATAGCCCACAACTAGAATGCTTAACCATTTCATCATATTTTTGCTGAAATAAGTGAAATACTATAGCCATTAGTTCTACATGAACTTGGTAAGTCAAATAGCTTGGAAAAACGCATACTAGTAAGAGAAATGTTCCCTAAGGGTAAATATGGAAAGTTTACCAAAAAGCTAACATTACTGATAGCTGAGTTCTAAAACTGTTTGTTAACTTCCTCATCTGGTGTTCTTTTTACAACACCCTTATAGTGAGTGCTTTATCAATGAGGATCATTTATCTGTAACAGAAAACGTAACTAGCTTATATACAATGAATGTCCTACATCATAGAACTGTGAAGTGCAGGGCAGGCTGGGGTGCACAATTAACAACGGCAATGATGCAGTGACATCCTTGGAGGCCCAGTTCTTATCTCTACTCTGTCCTCAGCAAAAGGTTCCTCCTACTCCTATGGCTGGTTCACCTCATGGTATCTAGGAAAGTCTACCTCTAGCATGAAAGCTCATGCTCTGTGTAGGCAAACCTGCTGCTCTGCTGGGAAGGGGGATGAAAGAAACCGGTGCTGGAAAGATGAATAACAACATCTTCTCTCATGGTTACTCCTGCAGTTTTTCAAAGTAAGTTTATTGTTTCCAACATTATGAAAGCAATTCATATCATTGAAGAAATTTTGGGAAACAGAAGGCATAAAAAAAACTCACGCATAATCCTATTACATGAGACAATCACGAGATAAACATTTTAGTGCATTTGTTTAAAACTCAAAATACAAATAATAATAATGCAAACCAATACAGTTAAATATAAAGTTAATTTAAGTTAATTCATTCAATTTGAAAATGTGACAGTCAATTTACTGGCTTGGTGACAGTCGGTCGTACGGAAGGAGGATAGCTTATTACTCTTTCTTGTAGGGCACTTGTGCTAATTGCATCACTGTATATACTGTGACCCTAGTACCACTGGACATAGTATTTCATCTATCTCTGATTTACTTGTGAGAATCTTCAGAAACTGAGATTACTGAACAAACTTAAGCATCTTTATTTCCACACTGCCAAATAAACATATATTACATATTTAATGTAAATATATTGAATACAAAATGGGAATAATTACTTCCCCTTGAATGGTGGTAAAAACATCTTTAGGTGTTGGTAAAATCATCTGATCATATAATTGAAAAGGTATTATACAGGAAGAAATTGTCTTAACATAAACAGAATTACCAGAAACTGCTTTATGACACTGCCCTTTAGAGACAGTTTGCAGCTTTGGGCACATAGTGCCATCATTTTCAACAACAGTCAACACTGCACATCTTATCTGGCATTATAACAGAAGTAACTCTTCTTATAGTTCCTGACATATTTTCATTCAGAGATCTTTAATTGGTATTAAAAAAACCTAACTGTATCATAAGAAGTGAGCTATGGAACTAGGGATATGCTAGTATAACTGAATGTTGAACACAAACAAGCAATGGACTCAAATAACTGTGGTATTACACAATAAAAATGGTTCATTTCGCTATGGGAAACAGGAAAAAGTAGTCATTAATGTCTCCCTTTCTCTTGCTAGTGTTGCCCCCTGCTTCTCTTGCTAAAGATAGCTCTCTTGACCTAGCTTCTTAATTCTACCTTGTTCTGACATAACATTAGTAAGGCTTTGTTGTAAAGTCTGCCTGTATAAACTAGGAACTTAACTCTGATCAGCCTTCCATTGTGTCTACTCTAACCCCAGATCATCTGTGCCTCCAGGTTGGCATGACTCTCCAGACTTACCACCACCATTACAGCTCTACCTCTGCTTTCCAGACTGACAACTGAAAGAACATATTCAATCAATTCCAATATATACTTAAGAAACTGGGATGGCTTCAGGAAGTTTTAGCAAAGGAGACTTGGCGTTTTAGAAGCTACAGAATGTATATGCTAATTAGAGAAAAGCAACTATTTCACCCCAACTATGTTATGCTCACTATGTTGCCTGCCATAGGAAAGAAGGCATCTGAAATACCTCTACTTCTATAGAGGAGCAATCAGATTATGATGATGAAAGCCCAGAGACAGAAAGTAACTGCTATGAGGGCTAACCAAGAACAACCACAGGCCATTTGCCTTCTGCTATTTGTGTGAGAATTTTGAGGCTGTGCTTATCCACAGAGAAATGAAATAGGATATTTTCTAGTTGGCTTAGTCTCTACAAGCCAACAGTATAGCTCCTTGTTAGCTAACCTGTTGCTCAAAGGTGCTGAAATTCCACTGTTTATTCTTTTCATTCTTCAATCATTGTGTTTTAAGACAGGAAATGTCAGGAGCAAAGCAGGCAATGTCTCACAGAGAAGATGCAGGAAATGTGAACCAGGTGATCACTAGGGACTTCAGAAAAGGACACCAAAGTTCCTTGTGAATTTTCCTCTATTTAAATTGTTACAAATTGGCAACTCCTTGTATTCAAATGTGGTATCCCAATGTAAAAGAAGGTATTAGTGGAAGCAGCAGTGACTTCTGGCACACAGTACTCATTTGAATGGTACAGTAAATGAAATGGGATGATTGTTAATTCTTTGTCCTGGAAGTACTGTAAGGAAGACACACCACGTTAGTCTACTGAGAAAATTCTATGGTTGCTCCATTCTAAAATGTCAAGGAGGTAATGTAAGACACTTTTTGAAACAGGATCTCATGTAGTCCAGGCTGTCCTTGGACTTTGAACTCCTAATCTTCCCACCTCTGCCTCCCAAGTACTAAGATTACAGGCCTGTGCTACCAGGTCTGACTTGAAAGTCAATAACTGATAGTTTAAGACAACACACTGACCCACAGGAAAACCCACAGTTTCCATAGGTGTAGGTCTTATGCTAACAAGTACAGTGATGAGACCCAGAACATATTTTTGAAACTGGCTCTGAGCTGTGAAAGGCCAAGCTCAAATAAATAAAGTTCTATTAAGATTAAAGGTCTTAGAATATGATGGCCTGAATCTAGGTGATACATAGTAAAGATAAAATGGGATACTTTTGAAATTCCTGAAAAAATCTTCAACATCACCCAATACAGAACATTTGAACCAGTTTTTAAAATGCAGTGACACCCGAGTCATCTGGTGTCAAATGCAGCTCTAGTATTAATTAACCAAGAAAGATGATACATATAGTACTGGATTGAATGAGGACACCATGTCTTTGTAAATTATGATTATTTAATTTTAGCATAATAGTGATTTATTATAATTTAGCACTTCAAAAAATATACTTTTGTGTTTAATAAACCACTGGGTCGCACGAGGCACTGGCCTATGCGCATGCCTTCGCTCCATACACCATGCTGCTATTGCACTGGAGGCAGTGAGTTCCATCCCGGGGATTGTAGGATCCAGGGCTGCAGATCACTGTGAATAAAACATCAATTCATTAGCAACATTCCCCGGGGCGCCACATAAGTTAACATAATGGTAAGTTGTCACACATGATCTTAATTTTGTTGTTGTTTTAAGTCAGTCATACAGTCCAAGTTGGTCTTGAACTCCTGATCTTCCTAAAGTATTGGGATTACAGGCATACACTATCATGTGACTGATGTTCTGTATTTTTAATTGAGGTAAAATACTAGGATAGAACTTACCACTTTATCCATTTTAAGTATTCCCTTTGGTAGTGTTATGTATACTTGTATGTACACCAATCTCCAAAACACTTTCATGTTGTCAAGCTGTATGGCTATGCCAACTGAGCAACTCTCTAGCATTTTTCCCACCTGCTAGCAACCATCATGGTTCCTGCTTCTCTGAATATGACTACCCAACAGTCCTCATACATGTAAAATGTTTAGCACTGTGAATATGGCCAACATTATCACCTAAAATAATTTTAGTAATCATATACTGTTGAGTTTAAAGGCTGAGTGCATGATCATTGAAGTTACAGCAGAGCTTAACACCCTAGATAAAAGTAACTGCTTACAGGACAGTCCATAAGAACTATGTTTTATGTGTACAAAGAGCCAAGAGCTGCAAGAGGACTGAAGCTTATTTCTAATCTTCTCATTTCTAGTTCTATTTGTATCACTTGATAAAAAGTACAATTTGGGGGAAATTCTTAACTTATCTCAGTTTGATCATTCCTAATCTGAAGACAATGTTATCACAAATACTGCTGTAGCTGTCACTGCCCAGCAGAAGGTTAAAAAAAAGTGCAGAAAGAAACCAAGTTCAAATACCACTGATGAAGCAACCAAGTCTCTAGCCTCCTCTTTCCTTGTTAGCAAAAGAAAAACAGACAGCCAACGTCATAATATTAACATGAAAATGAAAACCAGAAGTGTGATATGAAAAAGCAGGCATTCAACAAATGCTAACTCTGGGCCAAATGTTGTACTCTGGGCAGCTGCCTGTATTGACTGTATCCATTTCAAGTTGGGGCAAGCCTGTCACATGATCCACCAAACCCATTAAGCGGGCTGAGGTCTCTGATAAACCAGATCTTTTTTTTTTTCCCTGTTGCAAGCATTGGTGAATGATTGTACATTATGTTAAAGCATGTTATTATGGGCCATCTAACTTTTCAGTACCATGATTCAGTACTATGTGTTACTACTTAAATCTGCCTCATACTCTACTATGTTATTTTGTGTCATTTATGTTTGAGATGTGTTTTCCAAAAATACAGAAATATTTTAACTGCCTATTCAGAAGAAGTATTCACCCACCATACTGTATTCTAGGGTTCTTCAAGTTACAACAGACAATTTATTGGTAGATTGATATTTCTAATGTGGAAAATGTTGGTTATACAAAGCTAAAACTTTTTTCGTTTAGTAATATTAAGGATCCTTAGACACTTATAAACTTCCAACAATAAAATACAATGTTGCATTGAAAGCACCCTTTCTCTCAAATCACGTATTAACATTTCTTAAAAAACCAATACAGACATGCTGAACAAATATACTAAAACTTCTTAAATCACAATGAAAGCAGATGAAAAATCTACATGTAAATAGATTGCAACATATTTCATACTGATTGTTAAAAACAGAACTGAGAGTAGCATGAAAATATAAAGGGTTCAAGATACAATCAATGATCATCTAATAAGTTTAGAATTCAAATTTGATCGAAAATGCACAATAGCATAGAATCCTTGTCTGGAGCATTCTTTTCTAGTAATGTACATACTAAAACATTTTGTTCTGTTTTTAGAGTTAAGGAAAGTTTTTGAAATATAATTTAAATATAAAGGATAATATTTTCAAAGTACATTTATTGAATTAAATCAGAAGGAAGCATTTGGTGACCAGTACTGACATTAAAAAAGAAATTTAGAAAATAAATTTCATGAACTTTGGACAGGGGATGTCTTAAAAGGGAAAATAAAGTTTACAAAATAAAAGTTATCTTATAATTATACACTAAAATTAAAACTTAATAAAAAGGTATAAAAGCAATAGTCAATGAACAAATGTAGGAAACTATTTTAGATACATTAATTAAAAATATAAAAATTCATATAACTTGATAGAAAAGTATAGAAAAATTGAAAGTTGGTATCTATTATAAAATATTATACAAATGATCAATATTATTTAAGTTGTGTCAGTGAAAGTTTTTAATCATATCAGCAATCTAGGCAATGTAGGCACTTATCAAAATGTACTAAACTGAGAAAAAATTCATCAAAGGGCTATTAGAAAGCACTGGGCCTTCATCCCTTTATGGATACATTAAAAAGCCACTGGCAATTGGCCAAGAGAACACTCACTGCAAGAGAGCTCTGGAAATCAGACACAGATCTACAAAAAAAAAAAACCAAATTAACACAAAATCAAAAAAATTCTATCTTCAAAATGGTGAGAAATTGTATGTTGATTTCAATTACTCTTGTCCCACTCCACCCAGCAACACAACTCTGTGAGGTTATTACATACATCAGAAAAACAAAGCCTACTCAGTCCACAGCCCTAATCTCAGGGCTGTTCTGATTGTATTCTGTGACAGCACAGCTCTGACCTCCAGCCATGGATGCTTTCTGAAAACCACAATTGCAAGAAACTATTGAGGGATGCAAGAGAATCACCTAAGGCCCACAGAAGAGCAAGGGTAAGACTTATAAAAAGCAGGCATTTAAATGTATCCTAGACTATACAGAGAGAAGTAGAAGAAAGAAAGCACAGCATAGAACCAAGGCTGTAAAAGATGATGAACATCAGTAATCATTGCTAAGCAGTAAAAAACAATGACATCATGAAATTGACAGGCAAATGGATGGAGTTATGAAATATCATCCTGAGTGAAGTAACCAAGACTCAGAAAAACAAACATGGTATGTATTCACTTATAAGTGGAAACTAGATATAAAGCAAAGGGTAACCAGACTATAAGCCACAGCTCCAGAGAAGCTAGGTAACAAGGAGGACCCTAAGAGGGATGCATGGTTGCCATGGGAAGAGAAAACAGATGAGATCTCTGGAGTAAACTGGGTGGGGGGCAATAGCGGGTAGGTGATGGGGGATGAGAACATAAGGCAACAGAATGGTCGAGCTGGAACAGGAACAGAGTGGGAGAGCAATGAAAGAGATATCTTGATAGAGGGAGACATCATGGGGATAGGGAGAAACCTGGAGCTAGGGAAGTTCCCAGGAATCCACAAGGATGACCCCAGCATAGACTATTAGCAATAGTGGAGAGGGTGCCTGAGCTGGCCTACCCCGGTAATCAGATTGATGAATACCCTAACTGTCATTAGAGCCTTAATCCAGTAACTGATGTTAACAGCTGCAGAGATACACAGCCAAGCACCAGGCTGAGCTCCAGAAATTCAGCTGAAGAGAGGGAAGAGGGATTCTATGAGCAAGGGGCATCAATATCATAATGGGGAAATTTACAGATACAACTAAACCAAGCTAGTGGGAACTCATGAACTTTAGACCAACAGCTGTGGAGCCTGCATGGGACTGGACTAGGCCCTCTGCATAAGTGAGACAGTTGTGTAGCTTGGTCTGTTTAAGGGGCCCCAGGCAGTGGGATCAGGATCTAGCCCTGGTGCATGAGCTGGCTTTTTGGAGCCCATTCCCTATGGTGGGATGCCTTGGTCACCCTTGATGCAGGGAGGAGAGGCTTGGTCTTGCCTCAACTGAATGTACCAGGCTTTGTTGACTCCCCATGGGAGCCCTTACCCTTTTAGAGGAGTGGATATGGAGTGAATTGGGCGGGGTTGGAGTAGGAAAAAGAAGGGGAGGAGGAACTGTGGTTGGTATGTAAAGTGAATAAAAAATTTCTTAATTAAAAAATAACCAACTATGAGAGATATCACTTCCCACTTATCTCATTAGGATAAACAAAAGGTAGAAGAACCAAACCATAATGGTGGGTAAGCATGATAGAAACTGCACAGTTTTAGTGGGAAGAGGAAATGTTGAAGTTGTGAGAAAAAATCATAGTATGGAGGTTCCTCAAAAAGTGTGTGTATGTGTGTGTGTGTGTGTGTGTGTGTGTGTGTGTGTGTGTGTGTATGTATATATAAATGATGTGACCAAATAATTGAGAGAAGCAACTTAAGGGAAAAAGATTTATTTTGGCTCAGAGTTTCAAAGGTGGAGAAGGCAATACAAGAACACAGTGGCTTGTATCATGGCAACCAGAAAGCAGAGAGTGGGGAGAAAGGTCTAGGATGCCTGTGCCAGTCATAGTCAACTCCTAGTCTGCTTCCCTGCTCCCTTCAGTGCTCTGGGGACTCTAGTCTATGCACACCCCACGTTCAGGGTGGGCCTTTCTGCCTTAGTCCTCTTCTGTAAACACACACAGATATACACGTGTCACCAGTGTGCTTGATGCCTCTGAAATGCTTCTCAGTCAAGTCAGTCAGGTGAAGCCTCACGACTAACCCTTACACAAGCACTACCTAGCCAGCCTCAAGACTAACCCTTACACAAGCACCACCTAGCCAGTCTCAAAACTAACCCTTACACAAGCACCACTTAGCCAGCCTCAAGACTAACCCTTACACAGGTACGATCTAGCCAGCCTCAAGACTTAACCCTTACACAAGCACCACCTAGCCAGTCTCAAAACTAACCCTTACACAAGCACCACTTAGCCAGCCTCAAGACTAACCCTTACACAGGTACCACCTAGCCAGCCTCAAGACTTAACACTTACACAAGTACCACCTAGCTAGCCTCATGAAAACAGTAAAACTGTGGCCAGCAGCTAGGACACAGAGAATGGAAAATTGTTAGTAAATGTATATAAAGTTTTGGTTACAAAGGTGTGTTTGTATATATTAGGTAAACAATCCGAAATTCAAATTAAGAAAACATTCATTTACAATTTAACAAAAGATAACATTGTCAGATAAACTTATTTAAGCTGTCAAAACTTTATATATTTGAAAA